AGTAAAGAGAGCTCACTAAAATGCTAATTAGGCAAAAACAGGAGGTAAAGAAATAGCCAATCATCTATTGCCTGAGAGCACAGCAGGAGGGACAAGGATTGGGATATAAACCCAGGCATTCAAGCCAGCAACAGCAACCCCCTTTGGGTCCCCTCCCTTTGTATGGGAGCTCTGTTTCCACTCTATTTCACACTATTAAATCTTGCAACTCCAAAAAAGAAAAAAAGAAAAGAAAAGAAATTGCTGATTTTGCCATGTTTGAAGGAGTGCTTTCCTTCATATGCTCTCTTTCATCACAGGATAATGTAGTACTTGATGCCATGTAAACTCTCCATTCAGAAAATGTCACACTCATCTTCTCACTGAGGCTCAATGACTAATACATGTTAAAGATGTTACAACATAATATCTCAGTCTATTCGCCATGCCTTTGGGTGAGAAGTAACAAAAACTGTTAATTCTAGAACAAAGATAATAGCATATGGCTTAGTTGTTCCTGTGGACACCCATGAATATATTTTAATATGGCCAATGTGATATTAATTGGGTATCTTATCCTCAAAGTACCAAATGCTTTTCACATATTACTGTCTTATATTTTTAGGAGATGGTATGATCATCTCTAGCTTATATACTAAGAAATAAAGGAAGAGATGTTAGGAGGGATTGGCTAAGCTACAAATAAAACTCATTCCCCTCAACAATTAATTTGATCTTCTAGCCTCTAGATCATAATTCAGATGTTCACTAAAATGAGATTCTTAAGTATATTCTTCTTGACTAAGTTCCAAAGCAGTCCCCTTTGGTACTGCTGCCAGCTCAGGTTTCAGAGTATTTGGCACTACAACATTATCCTGAAGATTATTCTAATGTAGCAGAGTAAAGTACTAGACATCACAAGCTCTGATATTAGAACTGACTTTGAATCCTTGCTCCACCACCAGCTATTGTTTTAGGTTTGGAAAGTTACTCATCTTCTCTAAGCCTAAGTTTTCTTATCTGTAAAATGGGAATTGCAATAATTCTTACTTCATAGGGTTGCTCTGAAGACTAAATGAAAAAAGCACACAAAGGACTTAGCAAAATGCCTTATTTGATGAAATTGCTCTGTGGGGCTGGGAATTCGCATGATCACTGTGAACAGGTGGTACTAGGAGATGGCAAAGATAACTTTAGCCCCAACATTAGAGGGCGACATCTTCCTATGATATAAAAAGATGCTACCTACTTGGCAAACATAGCTTTCCGAAGAACAAGTATCAAGGAGTCTCTCATTGACATGCTGACTTTGAGAAGAGGCTGAAAAAGAATCAGTGGGTAAAAACAGAACAAGTTTGCTTATTAGCCTTAGCTCATTTCCAATACTGTTACCATATGGCTTCTATAAGGAAGCTTACTTCTGTTTTATATATGCTTTAATGTTTATTACAGTTAACAAGGACAATAGTATACTTTGTAACACTACAATGAAACTGGTTGTGAATGCCTTTGTAAATCTATTGTACTCAATAATGTTCTAAGAGAGTTTTAATTATTTCATTAACTTGAAAATGAGTTAACAGAATAGTGCTATGGATAGTAAATAAACCTGGAAAACAGTCTTGCTCAATGCTCTTGCCCTTTTCATGCAAATTCTATGTTTCAGACTAAAGTAGAATAGATTTCTTAGACATATATATTTATACAGAAATGCATCAGACTTCCACTAGACAGTTAAACCTCAGTTTTGGCAAGTTACTTGGGAATCTGAAGACTTACCTGCACTGCCTTAAGTAGCCTTTGTACAGTCTGAAGGGGCAGAAAGGACAAATAGTCAAAAGCTTCTGTGACTTTAGAAGAACAACTTTGAAGAACTAAGGGTGCATACATGACAATATTTGAAAGCAGGTCTGAAAAACAGAATCTATAATTAGTTGCCTCAAATAACTACAGATGTTTGAAATAAAAGAAAAATAAGGAGAAAGAAATGTAAGTCTTTTACTTCCTTTCTCAAATAAGTCAAGTATACTGCAATACAAATTTCTACTGATTCTATATATACTTTTTCTCCAATGTAACCAGGATAATTTTAGCTTTTTTCTGTGATAGTTTCAATTTCTCTAAAAATTAAACTGCCTAAAAGAAAGGAAGAAACCGATTACACTCCTAGACATAAGTAGTAGCACACATCTTTCTACTTCTAAGCTAAAATAAATCAATAAATATTTCTGAATTTTTAGTATGTGCAAACATAATATGGTCCTATTAGGAACATAAAAGTATAAAACATAGTCTTTCTTCAAAAATTTTAATAATTTAGTTGGAAGTAAAAAAAAATTTTTTTTAGAGACAAGGTCTCATTCTGTTGCCTGGGTTGGAGTGCAGTGGTGTGATCATAGCTCACTGCAACCTCAAACTGCTAGGATCCTCCTGCCTCAGCTTCCTGAGTAGCTGGGACCACAGGCGCATGTCACCACACCCAGCTAATGTTTTTTATTTTCTTATTTTTTGTAAAGACAGAGTCTTGCTTGATCCTCCTGCCTTGAATTCACAAGGAGTTGGGATTACAAGTGTGAGCCACTGTGCCCTGCCTTAAACAACTTTTTGACTAAACATTACTAGCTACTGGTGCTGACTACATCAAATAAGAGCATATCTACTGTACTTTTATAATCACAAAAAAAAATTACTAAAATAAAAAGAATTATTAGTTGGGGGTTTGCTACATTCCTTCCATTCTACTGACTTACCTCATAAAGCATGAGTCGAACATCAGCTTGCTGGCTTAAGCATCTCCTCAAACTATCCATGATCTCAAGGCAAAAAGTTTCATTGGCAACAGAATTGTAATGACTGTGAACATCCACATGAACCTGAAAGGAAGACAGGCCAATTCATGTCTATCTTACCAAAGCAGTTTCCAATAAGGAGCTAAATAAGCCTATGTTCTTGGTCAAAAAAACTTAGCTTTCTCCACATCCCAAACCCCAGGGGTGAGACATATAGTATAATCATTACCATGCAGTAATAAGTGTCATTCTTATTCTGGTTTGGAATAAGAGAATTTTTAAGCATTTTAATAAAACTAACTGTTCCCATTCCTTAAGGTTTCCTTGACAATATCAATTGCTTAGGAAGGCACATTGCTTATTTCAAGCCACTAGAATCCAGTAGTAATAATATACATAATTTTATTTAAAAGCTCTAAGACTTCTTCAATAGCTAGAAGAATCTCACTCTTCCACAAATTCTAGAAAGGTTTAGAGGAAGACAGTTTTTTGTTTAGAAATGGACGTGACAAAGAATTGACATCCTTTGTGTAAATTATATAATAAAATCAGCAATTATACACCAAGAATTCCTAATCCTTACTCCAGGTATCACAGTAATGTAGTTCATACTGCCTGAAGCCAAATCCTTCTTCCACCCTTTCTTGGTTATATAACCTTGGGTGAGTTATTTAACCTGGCTCAGCCTCAGTTTACCTATCCTTAAAACGGGGATAATAACACACAAATGATAACTAGTGTTCCTAATATTTAATCTATGCTATAAGTTATAGACAAAGCTTTATATAGTTATACCAAAGCAATAAAGTGAGGATTCCTAGTCAAACTGTTATATATAAATATGTCTCCTATTTATAAATCTTATAGTACATCATTTAAATTATGAAGACAATTTTATTGCTCCAAAGCCTAGATTACCAGATTATAAAAAGTTTTGTTTTCTCAGATTACAAGGTGTAGTATATATACATGTGCAAAGTAAATAAATTGACATAAGAAAATAGGGATAATAATAGTATCTAGCCTCAGAGGACTGCTTTGAAGATTAAATGAGATAATAAATGTAAAGCACTTTAGCACAATATCTAGCACAGTGCTATCCAAAATAAATATAATATGGGCCGGGTGTAGTGGCTCACGCCTGTAATACCAGCACTCTGGGAGGCTGAGGTGGGAGAATGGCATGAACCTGGGAGGCGGAGCTTGCAATAAGCCGAGATTGTGCCACAGCACTCCAGCCTGGGCGATAGAGCAAGACTCCGTCTCCAAAAAAAAAAAAAAAGAAAGAAATATAATATGAACCACAAATGCAAGCCATATATGTAATTTTATATTTTCCAGTAGCCACGTTAAAAAAGAGAAAGAGGTAAAGTCAATTTTAATATTTTCTGTAACCCCACACATACAAAATTCTCTCTGAAGGTGTAATCAATATTAAACATTATTAGATTTTTACATTCTTTTATTTCAAAATCTGGTATGAAGGCTGGGCGCGATGGCTCAAGCCTGTAATCCCAGCACTTTGGGAGGCCGAGACGGGCGGATCGCGAGGTCAGAAGATTGAGACCATCCTGGCTAACGCGGTGAAACCCCGTCTCTACTAAAAAAATACAAAAAAACTAGCCGGGCGTGGCGGCGGGCGCCTGTAGCCCCACCTACTCTGGAGGCTGAGGCAGGAGAATGGCATAAACCCGGAAGGCAGAACTTGCAGTGAGCCAAGATCTGGCCACTGCACTCCAGCCTGGGTGACAGAGCGAGACTCCGTCTCAAAAAAAAAAAAAATCTGGTATGAATTTTGCACGTACAGCACAACACAATGTGGACTAGTCACATTTCAATCAAATGTTCCATTTAGTAGCCACACTGAGGATAGTGGCTACCATACTGGATAGCACAGTTTAGCATACAGTAAATCTGCCATTAATAAGTGTTAGCCAATATCATCATCATTATCATCACTATCATCATCATCATCATCATCATCATCAGACTCTTTAGTTCTAGGATCATTCTTACAACCATAACAGGAATAAAAGAAAACAGCATGCATTTCATCAATGCACATGAATGATATGCACACACTGCAAGTTAACATAAATAATCCTTACCTGACTGAAACTAAGAGACTGACTGCACTGAGAGGATGACAGGCTGCCTAAAACTTTGAAGTTCTTTAGGAGCAGCAAAAATCCAGCAACTGCAGATTTTCGGGCATCAAGCTGGCTAGCTCAGAAATAGAGAAGTTAACAAACCTGTTTCACAGGAATATGCTTCTGGGTCAGAAAAATACAGCCAGTTGCATACAGAGAAGGCATATGTATAAACAATGAAGCGTAGAGCAAAACAAAGTGAATTTATTTACTCAAAATAAAGTATCAGCTGTTCAAAGCAATTTATAGTACAGAAATTGAACTGACATTTTTCATTACTTAACTCATGATACTCTACTTCCTTCTATCCTGCTCTAAAGTCTATGTGAGGAATAAGAATAAGAGTGCCGAGAGACTGCAAAATTGGCTGGTTACTCAAATGTAGGAAATCGCTGATTTTAAGTCACAGTACTCAGCAGGAGAAACAGAATGGAGAACCTCACGAGGACATACTTTCCTCCCCTCCAGATGGCTAGACACCGAAGAAGGAAAAATACTTTTGCCTGCAGCTAACCAATAGAAATTACTTAAAACCGTTCACCAAACCTTCCACTTAGGCATTGATAGCACCCATCAGATGGCCAAATTATTATTTACACTAGACCAAGCCTTTTCAAAACTATCAAGCAGATAGTCAGGGCCTGTGAAACGTGCCAAAGAAATAATCCCCTGCACTGCAGGCCATACATTTGAATCCCTATACCTTTAACCTCCTTGTTAAGTTTGTCTCTTCCAGAATCGAAACTGTAAAACTACAAATAGTTCTTCAAATGGAGCCCCAGATGCAGTCCATGACTAAGATCTACCGCGGACCCCTGGACCAGTCTGTTAGCCCATGCTCCGATGTTAATGACATTGAAGGCACCCTTCCCGAGGAAATCTCAACTGCACAACCCCTACTAGGCCCCAATTCAGCAGGAAGCAGTTAGAGCAGTCATCGGCCAACCTCCCCAACAGCACTTGGGTCTTCCTGTTGAGAGGACGGACTGAGACAGAACTAGCTGGATTTCCTAGGCCGACTAAGAATCCCTAAGCCTAGCTGGGAAGGTGACCGCTTCCACCTTTAAATATGGGGCGTGCACCTTAGCTCACACCTGACCAATCGGGTAGTAAAGAGAGCTCACTAAAATGCTAATTAGGCAAAAACAGGAGGTAAAGAAATAGCCAATCATCTATTGCCTGAGAGCACAGCAGGAGGGACAAGGATTGGGATATAAACCCAGGCATTCAAGCCAGCAACAGCAACCCCCTTTGGGTCCCCTCCCTTTGTATGGGAGCTCTGTTTCCACTCTATTTCACACTATTAAATCTTGCAACTCCAAAAAAGAAAAAAAGAAAAGAAAAGAAATTGCTGATTTTGCCATGTTTGAAGGAGTGCTTTCCTTCATATGCTCTCTTTCATCACAGGATAATGTAGTACTTGATGCCATGTAAACTCTCCATTCAGAAAATGTCACACTCATCTTCTCACTGAGGCTCAATGACTAATACATGTTAAAGATGTTACAACATAATATCTCAGTCTATTCGCCATGCCTTTGGGTGAGAAGTAACAAAAACTGTTAATTCTAGAACAAAGATAATAGCATATGGCTTAGTTGTTCCTGTGGACACCCATGAATATATTTTAATATGGCCAATGTGATATTAATTGGGTATCTTATCCTCAAAGTACCAAATGCTTTTCACATATTACTGTCTTATATTTTTAGGAGATGGTATGATCATCTCTAGCTTATATACTAAGAAATAAAGGAAGAGATGTTAGGAGGGATTGGCTAAGCTACAAATAAAACTCATTCCCCTCAACAATTAATTTGATCTTCTAGCCTCTAGATCATAATTCAGATGTTCACTAAAATGAGATTCTTAAGTATATTCTTCTTGACTAAGTTCCAAAGCAGTCCCCTTTGGTACTGCTGCCAGCTCAGGTTTCAGAGTATTTGGCACTACAACATTATCCTGAAGATTATTCTAATGTAGCAGAGTAAAGTACTAGACATCACAAGCTCTGATATTAGAACTGACTTTGAATCCTTGCTCCACCACCAGCTATTGTTTTAGGTTTGGAAAGTTACTCATCTTCTCTAAGCCTAAGTTTTCTTATCTGTAAAATGGGAATTGCAATAATTCTTACTTCATAGGGTTGCTCTGAAGACTAAATGAAAAAAGCACACAAAGGACTTAGCAAAATGCCTTATTTGATGAAATTGCTCTGTGGGGCTGGGAATTCGCATGATCACTGTGAACAGGTGGTACTAGGAGATGGCAAAGATAACTTTAGCCCCAACATTAGAGGGCGACATCTTCCTATGATATAAAAAGATGCTACCTACTTGGCAAACATAGCTTTCCGAAGAACAAGTATCAAGGAGTCTCTCATTGACATGCTGACTTTGAGAAGAGGCTGAAAAAGAATCAGTGGGTAAAAACAGAACAAGTTTGCTTATTAGCCTTAGCTCATTTCCAATACTGTTACCATATGGCTTCTATAAGGAAGCTTACTTCTGTTTTATATATGCTTTAATGTTTATTACAGTTAACAAGGACAATAGTATACTTTGTAACACTACAATGAAACTGGTTGTGAATGCCTTTGTAAATCTATTGTACTCAATAATGTTCTAAGAGAGTTTTAATTATTTCATTAACTTGAAAATGAGTTAACAGAATAGTGCTATGGATAGTAAATAAACCTGGAAAACAGTCTTGCTCAATGCTCTTGCCCTTTTCATGCAAATTCTATGTTTCAGACTAAAGTAGAATAGATTTCTTAGACATATATATTTATACAGAAATGCATCAGACTTCCACTAGACAGTTAAACCTCAGTTTTGGCAAGTTACTTGGGAATCTGAAGACTTACCTGCACTGCCTTAAGTAGCCTTTGTACAGTCTGAAGGGGCAGAAAGGACAAATAGTCAAAAGCTTCTGTGACTTTAGAAGAACAACTTTGAAGAACTAAGGGTGCATACATGACAATATTTGAAAGCAGGTCTGAAAAACAGAATCTATAATTAGTTGCCTCAAATAACTACAGATGTTTGAAATAAAAGAAAAATAAGGAGAAAGAAATGTAAGTCTTTTACTTCCTTTCTCAAATAAGTCAAGTATACTGCAATACAAATTTCTACTGATTCTATATATACTTTTTCTCCAATGTAACCAGGATAATTTTAGCTTTTTTCTGTGATAGTTTCAATTTCTCTAAAAATTAAACTGCCTAAAAGAAAGGAAGAAACCGATTACACTCCTAGACATAAGTAGTAGCACACATCTTTCTACTTCTAAGCTAAAATAAATCAATAAATATTTCTGAATTTTTAGTATGTGCAAACATAATATGGTCCTATTAGGAACATAAAAGTATAAAACATAGTCTTTCTTCAAAAATTTTAATAATTTAGTTGGAAGTAAAAAAAAATTTTTTTTAAGAATTAAAGAGGTAAATCACAGAGCAATATCAAATATCTAATAATTCCAAACATAGTTTATTGCCTACTAAATGGTAAAAGGAGAGTTTAAATAGGAGTTCAAAGGAAGAAGAGATCATTATGAGTTGGCATATATTAGGAAAGCAATGAGAAGGAACTTAAACTAGGTTCTAAAAGATGGGGAACATCTAAATGCACAAAGAACCAGAAAGACCTACATATATAAAGGGAAAAGTATGGGTAAAGGTCTGAGAAAGGTAAGCATAAGACATATTCAGAAGATGGTAGGGAAATCAATGATGCTAGGGTGAAGAATCCAGGAAAGTAAATAACTGACTTTAACATTGGAAAGGTAGGTTGGGATCCACTTGTCAAGGACTTTCAGTGCCAGGATAAAGAGCTGACGATTTGGCCAGGTGCGGTGGCTCACACCTGTAATCCCAGCACTTTGGAAGGTCGAGGCAGGTGGATCATGAGGTCAAGAGATTGAGACCATCCTGGCCAACATGGTGAAACACCGTCTCTACTAAAAATACAAAAATTATCTGGGTGTGGTGGCGCGTGCCTGTAGTCCCAGCTACTTGCAAGGCTGAAGCAGGAGAATTGCTTGAACCTGGGAGGCCGAGGTTGCAGTGAGCTGAGATCATACCACTGCACTCCAGCCTGGGTGACAGAGTGAGACTCCATCTCAAAAAAACAAACAAACAAAAAGAGCTGACAATTTATTAAAGAACATATAGATGATTTTATACTCATAAAGTGGTATTTTAGGAATACTAACCTGTGGTAATATGCAGGTTAAATTGCTGAAGGGAGAAGAAAAAGCCAGGAAACCAGTTAGAAAGCTGTGGTAGTAGTCTAAATTCAAGGTTGTAAGAATGGGAACTAGACAGTGGATGTGAGGTTGGGGGAAGGAGGGAATAAAAAGATAGAAAAAAATAACAGTATGAGGCAGAAAAATGATAGAACTTTGGTACCAAGTGTGTTTGAGAAAATAAAAGGTAATTCCAGCCTCCAGGACCTGGAGAGCCATGCTTCAAATAATGGAAATAGGAGCAATGGAAAGGAAAATTTGTTTGAAGGGAGCTGTATTATATTTGAGGTAAAAGAAAAACTGGTCACAGGCAGGAAAAGAAGCAAACTCTTACAGTAGTCAGAGAACTTACCTAAAAAAGTTTCAGGGGAGTTATAAACAGTGATGAATGACATAGAGAAATTTTTAAAATTGGTGATTAAGACCAGTCAATTTAGACATTAGGAGTTATGTATTAAAAACAGCAAATTCAGGCTGGGTGTGGTGGCTCAAGCCTGTAATCCCAGCACTTTGGGAAGCTAAGGTGGGTGGATCACCTGAAGTCAGGAGTTCGAGACCAGCCTGGCCAGCATGGCGAAACCCTGCCTCTATTAATAATACAAAAATTATCTGGGCGTGGTAGCGTGTGCCTATACCAGCTACTGAGGAGGCTGAGACACAAGAATTGCTTGAACCCAGGAGGCAGAGGTTGCAGTGAGCTGAGATTGTGCCACTGCACTCCAGCCTGGGCAACAGAGTGAAACTGTGTCTAAAAAAGAAAAAAACAAAAAAACCCCAGCAAATTCAGAGGTTACCAGAGACAAATGCTGTGCAGTCCAAATGTCAAGGCTAAAAGGACTAGGAAGTCAATGAGTGGCAGCAGAAGGACAGCATTCATTTGAGAGGTATTAATAATAACAGAAAATGTTGAGGCAAAATGGAAGTTTTACTTATTGGTTAATTGTTGCTTTCCTTACTGACAACTACAGCCTTTTTGACAATTGACAATCCCAGACAACATAAATGGATTTGCTTTATTGGCATCCTATCAAAGATACTGCATTTAAATGCTCATTAAATTTTTTTTCCCAGGACCAAATGATTATGACATTTAAATGAAAATATTTATAAAAACTTTATTCATCCTTTCAAAGTTTAATACCTAAGAAATGACTGATGGGAGAAGATGCTCTGGTAACAACCCTGTTGAGGACCTGCTCCAGAATTTCTTGTCTGATCATCTCATGGATCTAAAAACAACAGCATAAATAAAATATTCCTGGGTGACCTTCAGCTTTTAAGTATATCAATGCATGTCAGGCAGGATGAAGAACAGTTTGGATATGGGTAAAACTCAAAAACTCAGAATATAATGTGAATCACCTGGAAAGACAGAATCACTCAACTTTCCCCTTGTTCTGTGCTTCGATGATTCATTAGTAGGGTAAATACCATGTTTATTAGCCTAAAAGTACAGATCACATTAAACTATTGCTAATATAAGGTTCAGCATCAAACAGGACAAATTCTACTTAGGTATCCATTACCTGACAATATCCATATTCCTGACAGTACACATAACTTTTATTCTAAAAATTAAAATGTAAAAGCCCATGAAAATTTCTAGAAACTTAAAAGATCTTCCCTAACCCCTGTCTCAGTTTCTAGAAGCACAGCAGTTGCTGTTAAAAAGACCCATTCTGAATTTTCACTTAAATTTTAGTTAAAATTCTTACTTGAACTTAATTACTTTATGGTACAGACTAATTTCGTTCAGACCTCAGACTGTTAGTGACTTAGCAGCAATTTATAAAGATGACTTGATAAAGCTGACATCTATGTGAAATCAAATGGAGCCTCTTTAGTTTTGAAAAATAGTAATTTAAATACAAAAACATACTCTAAGATAATGTCTTTAACAATATCACTGTAAAGCAGGGTAATTTATATTACATCATCAAATACACTTACAACTCTCAAGAACTATTCTGACATTTACTTCATAGTTCTGGATTAGAACACCAGATTTACATTTAGATCAGCCTCCCAAATAACATTTTCAGCAGACACTCTTGGTGTGTAGCTACATTAAACAACTGAACATTAAGAAGACTTAGAGGAATTACTAGCAAAGTTGTTTAACCTCAGATATGATCTAGCATTTTTTTATTCAAAACAAAATACATTTTTGAAAACTGTTTTGGAAATTAATATTGTCAGTGATAATTTGGTAATAATGTCAAAAAAATGTAAATTTCCCATTTTGGGTTCTTCAGAAACAATGAACCAATAAGTATGACTTTTTTTTTTTTTTTTTGTCTGAGATAGGGTCTCACTTTGTTACCCAGGCTGGAGTGCAGTGGTGCAAACACAGCTCACCATAGCCTTGACTTCCTGGGCTCAAGTGATCCACCTCAGTCACCCAAGTAGCAGGTGCACGCCACCGTGCCTGGCTAATTTTTGTATCTTTTGTAGAGATATTGTTTCGCCACGTTGCCCAGGCTGGTCTCAAACTCCTGAGCTCAAGTGATCTGCCCACCTCAGCCTCCCAAAGTGTTGGGATCATAGGTTAAGTCATGCCCAACCAAGCATGATTATTTTTTTGTTTTATTTTCAGTAAAAATTCTTAGAGCATAATTCTTTAAGCTTGATGCTCTACAGTGACCTAAAAAAATTTCTTCTGTGTAAAGGAACAGCATTAAAACAAAATAAAACAAAAACTAGAAAGGTTTACTGCTGGAAGAAGGAAAAGTCATGAAAAAGCTATCTTATATTCAAACTTCTAGGTCAGAAGCAATTGGATTACGTGGAATAAATGAAAAACTTACATAAAAGAATAAGAAAGTTAAGTATTCCATCAAACTGGATCTATAATGTTTCAATATTATCCTAATCTCTGTCATATATCCTCTGTCAAACTAATACTCAAATTTCCTTGTCCAGCAAACTCCCAGGCAAATGCCAAGCCCTACTTGGATTATTTAAACAAAATTAGGGAGTGGTTGCCAAAATAGTGTCTCACCTTAAAAGTTTCCAACAGGATATTAGCTCCGAGCTTACATGCATGCTGGTTTGGCATTCTAGAAAGACTTGGGCTGGTTTCAATAGTTTTTCCATCAAGAACCTTCTTTGGCCCGTATGAATCCATCAAAATGAAACCAAGTTCAACGAGGCCCTGAGTAACATGGTCCCAACTATGAACGCTACAAGAAAACAAAGCTTAGTTAAAAAAGAAAAACGTAGTAAGATATCTTACCTTTATACTCAATGCCCTGTTACACATTTCCCAAACTTGACCTGGATAACCAACGTACTCTGCATATAAACCTTTTCTTTACACACATCATCTGACAGAATTCTGAATTCCTAAATGTACCAGAATGGGAATAGCAGGCAAGTGGTCTCCAATGACAGACAGAGTACTGGGAAAATCCAGAAGCTAGAGAATATTCAAAAACATACAAAAGAAACTGGAATATTTCAATATGATGACAATTAAAGATTCCCATTCAAGATTTCATGATGAGAAGTTCATTGCTGCCTCTTCTATTACCCTACAGCACTGACAACGCTTATGTAGAGGCTTACAAATTAGCTCCTCTCCATAGACAGAGATTCTGTAAGAGAGAGGTCATAGTATAGTCATATTTTTACCCACATTGCTTAACACAAGGGTGGCATATAAAAGACACTCAGTAGATATTTATAGTATAAATGGATGAATGATCTGGTGTCAACAGCATGAGCTAAAACTACAAATAATCTTTTGTAAAGAAGTAGAATCACTGGTGGTTTTATACCACTTAATGTTATACCCCACAGTGGAAAGAATGTGCATATAACCTTTATCCATTATATCTACCTGTTAAATTGCAACAAATTATAATGCAGCACTACAGAATGAAGTAGATAGTTATGGATAAATTATAACATTTTAACAGAGTTAACAATATTCATACTCTGAAGAGCCAAAAATTCAATTACGTAAAATGGAGAATGCATTATTTAAAGGTTCATTAACTGACTGGGGCAAGCATGTGTAACTAACCAGCCAGTTATTTTACAGGATCTAGTAAGGCTATCCAAATCTCTCCCAGCTGAGGTTTGGTCCCACCTGGTGACAAGTACCCACTCCAGGCTAATTATACATGGAGATGCTTTCAAGTCCGATGATGGAGACTTTCAGAAGACAGGCAGCTTTCCAGGAATTTCCTAGTTAGTGAGTACCTGTTTCTTTAGCCCAATTTGAAGAGATTGGGTTGGGAAAATACTGGAGACACAACTATAAGCCTCAGGAAAAAGAATAATCAGATACAAAGATTAAAAAGCTTTAAGGCGGCCGAGCGTGGTGGCTCACGCCTGTAATCCCAGCACTTTGGGAGGCCAAGGTGGGTGGATCACGAGATCAGGAGATCAAGACCATCCTGGCTAACACGGTGAAACCCTGTCTCTACTAAAAATGCAAAACATTAGCCAGCGTGGCAGCGGGCGCCTGTAGTCCCAGCTACTTGGGAGGCTGAGGCAGTAGAATGGCGTGAACCTGGGAGGCGGAGCTTGCAGTGAGCTGAGATCGCACCACTGCACTCCAGCCTGGGTGACTGAGTGAGACTCCGTCTCCAAAAAAAAAAAGCTTTAAAAGCTTTAAGGCCTATCAATGGGTAAAATACTCAAACAATAAACTCTAATTTCACATTTGCCCTACTGCAAAGCTCATGTAAATTCAATCTATTAATAAACAAGAATTCCGGGCCTAGAAGAGACCTACCATAAATTATGCTTAAATTACGAAACTTTAAAATTTTTTAATGCATAATGAAAGCATGACATAGTAAAGACTGTTAGAACAGCTAATGTATATCCTGAAATTAAAATAAAAACCAGGATAGTTACTGATGTTTTCCATGTGGTTTTAAATGAATTTGTCTAAACTGGCTAATCAATAATTCAATTCTAACCATAAGCTCCAAATTTCAACAAAGTAAATAAAACTCTTAATGTTTTTTACTCACTTTAAAAAGAGGCCATTAGCCAGATGCAGTGGCATGCGCCTATTGTCCTGGCTACTTGAGAGGCTGAGGCAGGAGGATCAGTTGAGCCCACAAAATCAAGTCCAGCCTGGGCAACATAGTGAGAAGTTCCTACGTCGCCAGGAAAAAAAAAAAAAAAGAAGAAAGGCCAAGCCAGGCACAGGGGTACATGCCTATAGTCCCAGCTACTAAGGTGGGAGGCCAGGAGTTCGAGACTTTACCGTGCTATAACAGAGCCTGTGAATAGCCATTGCCCTCCAGCCTAGGGAACATAGTGAGACTCTGTTTCCTTTAAAAAAGAAAAGAAAGGGCCCAGACCGGTGGCTCAAGCCTGTAATCCCAGCACTTTGGGAGGCCAAGGCAGGTGGATCGCTTGAGCTCAGGAGTTCAAGACCAGCCTGGGCAACATGGCGAAACTCTGTCTCTACAAAACACACAAAAATTACTTGGGCATGGTGGAGCATGCCTGTAATCCCAGGTACTCGAGAGGCTGAGGTGGGAGGATTGCTTGAGCCCAGGAAGTCAAGGGTGCAGTAAAGCCAAGATTGTGGCACTGCACTCCAGCCTGGGTGACAGAATGAGACTGTCTCAAAAAAAAAATGGAAAGAAAGCAAAGGAAAATAGAGAATTGTAGTATCATGAAATAAACAATAGCACCTAATTCAGTTTTGTGTGCTTGCTGTCAAGGTGAACAAGAAACCAGGTCCTGAGATTCAAGGATATTTCCATAGGGAAAAAGTATGCTCTACCAGTTTTAAGAAATTGACCCTTGATGTGTGAAGTCAACAGCTGTAAGTCATCAGCTTCCCCTCATAGCCTGCAAGTATGATACCACATTGCATTTTCTAACATTAAACACCTTATAAACCTTTTGAGATATGGTTCACCAACTTACCTATTCTTTACCACTTCCAAGATCATGGTTGAAACATAAGACCTATGAGGAACTAGATTCTGAAGAAATTTTGAGCCTTGGAGGAGTTGAAGATCCTTAAAGCTCTTTACAACCGAAGTCTTTAAAAGATCAAGCACCTTGGGTATAGTTAATAAAAATAAATGAAAAAAACAAATAATTAAAAGATCAAGCGCCTAATAGAATGAAATAAGAAAATAAAGCAAATATTATAGCTCATGCTATAAATCTTAACCCTATAACTGTTCCTATGAGCTGCCATTCACTATATCCCTATGACAACTATTTTAACTAGATGAAGATGTTACAAAAATTATGACGTTCAGTGGGAACTTTAAAGAGTTGAAGACAAGCCTTCCTTAAGCAAAAAGGGGGAAAAAAAAGGCTAAAAGTCAATATAAATATTACCCACAACCTGGAACACATATAAGAAAAAAAGGGTAAATTTCATCCTTGCAACTAACCTATTCTTGGAAAGCTACAACATAATAAAACTGCTGGTGAATATCCAGCTAAATTGTCCCTTCCTCCAACTTGGGCTGTGTGATATCCTTCCACTCTTATTCCCACCTCATCACCTAGCTTACCACACAATAGGAAATGAAAGAATAAACCAAAAACCTGTAGAAGTCTTCCATCAGTCCCCAGAGAACAGAGGGGACATACATGTCTTATAGCAGCTTTGCTGCTGGCAGGAAGGGGGTAAAATTGTTTAGGAAAGGATACAACAAAAACAGATTTCTGTGTGTATGTGTGTGTGTGTGTTTTTTTTTTTTTTTTTTTTACCAACTACAGAAGGAAACAAAATGGCATTAAAAAAAAATACCTGGTCCTGAAATCTTTGTATTCTTGTTACAGAGAGAAGAAGAGCAATGCTGAAGGGACTTAAGTTATTATTGGAATCTCCTTGCTGTCCTGCCTAGAAAAGAGCAACCAAAAGAAAGTCATTACTTACATTTTCTTTTTTTTTTTTTTTTTTTAAAGATAGGGTCTCACTCTGTTGCCCAGGCTGGAGTGCAGTGATGCAATCATAAACCACTGCAGCCTTGATTTCCCAGACTCAAGGGATCCTCCTGGCTTAGCCTCCCAAGTAGCTGGGACTACACCACGCCTGGCTAATTTTTTAATTTTTAATTTTTAAATTTTTTGGAGAGATGAAGTCTCACTGTGTTGCCCAGGTGAGTCTCAAACTCCTGGCCTCAAGTGATCCTCCCACCTTGGTCTTCCAAAGTGCTGGGATTACAGGTATGAACCACCACACCTGTCCCATTACATACATCTTAAAAGTATAACAGCCTATTTAACAATAAGTCCCTTGGCCAGGTGTCATGGCTCACACTTGTAATCCCAGCACTTTGGGAAACTGAGGCAGGTGGATCACTTGAGGTCAGGAGTTCAAGACCAGTCTGGCCAACATAGTGAGACCCCGTCTCGTAAAGTACAAAAATTAGCTGGGAGTGGTGGCGCATGTCTGTAATCCCAGCTACTCAGCAGGTTGAGGCAGGAGAATCACTTGAATATGGGAGGCGAAGGTTGCAGTGAGCTGAGATTGTGCCACTGCACCCCCCACCAAAAAAAAAAAAAAGTCCCTATGACTCAAAGGACATAAAAAAAATTTTTTAATAGTAATAAAAAATAAAAATAGGTCCTTGAATGGATCAGAAATCCAAATGTAAGAGCAAAAATTATAATACTTTTAGAAGAAAACATACAGAAAAATTTCAAGACCTTGGATTAGGTAAAGATTTCTTAGATACAATACCAAAAGCATAATTTGTACAAGAAAAAATTGATAAACTGGACCTCACCAAAATTTAAAACTTTTGTACTTCAAAAGATACCATTAAGAAAATAAAAAGACAAGTCACAGACTGAGAAAAAATATTTGCTAATTATATACCCGATAAGGAACTTGTCACCATTCATAACAAAGTTATTGAAAAAATAAAAAAGAACTTGTCAGTAGAATATACAAAGAATTTTAATTAAGAAGACAAACAACACACTCAAAAAATGGGCAAAAGATTTGAATAGACATTTCACCAAAGAAGATTTTAGAACAGTTAATGAGCACATGAAAAGATGCTCAATTATCATCAGTCATTAAGAAAATGCAAAGTTAAACCTCAATGAGGTACTGTTTCATACCCATTAGAATGGATATAATAAAAAAGACAGACAACAAATGTTGGCCAAGAGACAGAGAAATAGGAACCCTCACACAGTGATAGTGGGAATGTCAAATGATACTGTTTTGGAAAGCAGGCAGTTTCTTAAAAATATAAACATAAATTTCTCATACAAGCCAGCAGTTCTACTCCTGGGTATATGCACAAAAGAAATAAAACATATGTCCACACAAAGACTTGCATGTGAATGTTAGTGGCAGCATTATTTGTAGTAGCCAAACAGTAGAAAAAATTCAAATATCCACCAGCAGGGAGACTGCTAAATAAAACTCACATATATCCACAAAATGGAATACTATTCAACAATAAAAAGAAATGAGCCTAATATGGTAGCTCACACCTGTAATCCCAGCTAGTTGGGAGGCTAAGGCAGGAGGATCACTTGAGGCCAGGAGTTCACAGCAAGACCTCCGTCTCTTAAACAAATTTTTTTTTGGCCGGGCGCGGTGGCTCAAGCCTGTAATCCCAGCACTTTGGGAGGCCGAGACGGGCAGATCACGAGGTCAGGAGATCGAGACCATCCTGGCTAACACGGTGAAACCCCGTCTCTACTAGAGGTGGCGGGCGCCTGTATCCCAGCTACTCGGGAGGCTGAGGCAGGAGAATGGCGTAAACCCAGGAGGCGGAGCTTGCAGTGAGCTGAGATCTGGCCACTGCACTCCAGCCTGGGTGACAGAGCGAGACTCCGTCTCAAAACAAAAAAAAACAAAAAAAAACAAAAAAATTTTTTTTTAAATTAGCCAGGTGTGGTGGTGTGCGCCTGTGGTCCTAGCTAGTCAGAAGTCCACAATGGGAGGATCACTTGAGGCCAGGAGTTTGAGGGTGCAATGAGCCATGATCACGGATATTGCACTCCACCCTAGGTGACAGAGTGAGACCATGTCTCTTAAAACAAACAAAACAGTAAAAAGAAATGAAATACTGACATACTCTACAACACAGGTGAACCCTGAAAACATTACACTTCATGAAAGAAGATATACACAAAAGGCCACATATCATATAATTTCATTTATACAAAATATCTAGGAAAGGTAAATCTATAGAGACAGAAAGTAGATTAGTGGTTACCTGGGGCTGGGAGTGCTAATGCAGATTAAATGGGCATAAAAGATCTTACAGGGTGATAAAAATGTTCTAAAATTGGATTATAGTGACAGTTACAAACTAGGTAAACTTATGAAAAACATCACTGGATTGCATGCTTAGAATAAAATAATGTTATGCTATGTAAATTGTGCCTCAAAAAGTTGAAAAAATACATTTTCAAGGCCTAGAAAAGATGATACCAATAAAACAAAAAATATACAAAATAAAACATCAATCAAACAGAAAACAAAAACAAAACAACAGAGTGGATCAAAATACATAAAGCTGGTGAAATGGCCAGTAATATAGTTACTACGAACCTAAATTTAAAAAAAGAGTGAACAGATACAGAGAAGATAAATTAAAGCCTACTCACAGATTATGGTCTTTAAGTATCCTTTCCTACAAAAGGGACCCAGGGCTTTTTAGAGACATGGTTGGCATCAGGATGGGGCAAAGAAAGTACTATAGTGAGCCTTGGGCATATCATGCCACAGCTCAAAGACTAATGGGGTCACATCAAAAGAACACATAAGCTGACCTGAAGGATCCAACTGGCTAAATTTGGGTAATTTTGTGCTCAAAACAAATAACGACAGTAATGAATAATGAGTACATTGAATTTAAAAATGTTCATGAGTGCATAATGATATTCATGAATAAACAATAGGGAAAGGAGAGGCGCTTTTTACAGAAGAATGCCAGCTAATAATGTAGAAAGAAAGACGCAATTAAAATTTTCTAATTAAAATCAGAATCCCTTGGGAACAGATTGTGAGGACAAAAAGAAAAAAATAATAAAATATAAAATTCAAATTCCTGGTATAATTACTGATTTAGGCCAAGAATCATCAATAGACAGGAAAACGAAAACCATTGTGTGAAATGTTGTTGGGAAAAGGATTTTCAATACTATCTCGAACTATGATCCTATAGATTCCTTTCTAATTACAAAGGGATACATATATACTTATAAATGAAGAAAATCGATGGTCATTTTCTTAAAAGCAAATGATTTAGCATCACAAATAGTAAGGTAGTTAATACTATGTTCCTCCTGATGTAATGCATAGAACAGTGGTTGGCTAACTACAAAAAGCCTGTTGGCCAAATCCAACACACTACCTGTTTTTGTGCAACCCATGAGCTAAGACTGGTTTTTATGGTTTTAAATGGTTGGGTGGGGGAGGAAATCAAAGGAAGGCCAGTGCAGTGGCTCACGCCTGTAGTCTCAGCACTTTGGGAGGACAAGGCAGGCAGATCACTTGAGGCCAGGAGTTGAAGACTAGCCTGGCCAACATGGCGAAACCCCACCTCTACTAAAAATACGAAAATTAGCCAGGCACGGTGGCATGCGCTTGTAGTCCCAGCTACTTGGGAGGTTGAGGCATGAGAATCACTTGAACCTGGGAGGTGGAGGTCGCAGTGAGCCAAGATTGGGCCATGGCACTTCAGCTTGGGTGAGAGTGAGACTCTGTCCAAATAAAAAACAAAAAACGAAGAATAATATCCCACAATATAAAAATGGAATAAAATTCAAATTTCAGTGTCCATAAATAATGGGAAAACAGCCACACTCATTAGTACATTTTGTCTGTGGCTGCCTTCTTGCTGCAATGGTAAAGCTGAGTAGTTGTGACAGAGCCTGCATGGCCTGCAAAGTGCAAAATATTAGTATCTGGCCCTTGCAAGAAAATGTACACAACATCACTTACGAAGTATTCAAGTCAAAAATGTCTAACTTGAACCCAATCATGAGGAAACAATCAGATAAATCCAAAAATGTGGGACATTACACAAGTGGGCTGATGCTTCAAAAAAATCAGTCTAAAACTAGAAAGACCAACCAAATGCAATGCATGAAGCCTGATGAGAGCCTGGAGCGGAGGAAAAAAAAAAACACAGCTGTAAAAGACATTTTAGAGACAACTGTGAAAATGTGAATAGGGAATATAAATTAAATAATATTATGGAATTATTGTTAATTTTCTTAGATGTGATGATGGTATTGTGATAATATGTCCCTGTTCTTAGCAAGCTGAAATATTAAGGCATTGAGGTGTTAGGGTTTGGGTTTCTGCATCTTACTTTTAAATGTTCAGAAAAAGAATATGTATGAGAGAAAAAGTGAGGTAAATGTGGCAAAGCGTCTAATAATTGGTGAATCTAGGTGAAGGGAACATAGGTGTTCTTCATGCTATGTAGTGTTTTAACTTTTCTAAGTTAGAATTTTCAAACTAAAAAGTTGGAGGAACAAATATATCTGTACACTACTTTTCTTTAATATAGTTCAAAACACTTGAGTTTTATTTTACTACTTTACAAATACTTCATCATGAATGACTTAGCATCACACAACTCCATGATCTACTACTAGATGCAACATCCTAATTCATAAATGAGAAAGCAGAGGCCATAGGTGAAGGTCACATAAGATAGTGACACATAATCTACTTAGATTTTGAGTTTCCTGCTGAATAGTTCTCAGCTTTTTTTCTACTTTTTTGCATTAGAACATTTGAGGCTTTTTTAATAGACCTTTCTGGCTTGCTTAAGGATGTGGTATACACCTAAAGTGAGGACTTTAAAAAAAAAGGGAGTGTGGTAACATGTATTGTCCACTTTTAAAGTAAAAAAAAAAGAGAGATCCTCCACACCCAGAGTCATTTTACAGTATTTATTTCCTGTCATTAACTGGCATAAAAGTGGCTTAAGTTCAAACACTTTCATTCAAAAGAGACCCAGATCACCTTACAAGTTTGGTGCTACCTTTAAGTGTTTCAGGAGTTCTCTGCCTAGTTCATAGTCCAATTTGATGGCAAACACAATGTGTAGAATAATGGTGCCTTCCACATGACGAAGTTCACCTGATGGCACAGTAACAACATCCAACAGCCTAAAAGATTCAACAGAAAGGTATGAGCTATAAGGTGCGGTGCCTCATGCCTGTAATCCCAGCACTTTGGGAGGCCGAGGCAGGCAGATCACTTGATCCCAGGAGTTCAAGACCAGCCTCTACTAAAAGTTTTAAAAAATCAGCCCCATGTGGTGGCACACCTGTAGTCCCAACTACTTGGGAGGCTGAGGTGGGAGGATTGTTTCAGCCCGGAAGGTGGAGGTTGCAGTGAGCCAAGATTGCGCCACTGCACTCCAGCCAAGGCAACAACAAAAAAAAGGTATGAGCTATGGTTTTTGAGTGAGAGACAAGGGCAGGTGCTACGATGAACAAGTACACCAACTCAATCTAAACTCATACAATCACTGAAGGCAGGTGTTTACTAGAAATTCTACTGCCCAGTTCTCTACTCCTGTCTGTCTGTTCTGTCTATCTACCCATCCATCCATCCATCCATCCATCCATTCATCCATCCATCCATCCATCCATCCATCTGAGACAGGGTCTTCCTCTGTCACTCAGGCTGGTGTGCAATGGCATGATCATAGCTTACTGTAGCCTCAACCTCCCAGGCTCAAACAATCTTCCTACCTCAGCCTCCTGAGTAGCTGGGACTACAGGCATGGGCCACTTTGCCCAACTAATATTTCTATTTTTTGGTAGAGATGGAGTTTCACTATATTGCCCAGCTGGTCTCGAACTCCTGGGCTCAAGTGATTCTCATGCCTCAGCCTCACAAAATGTTGGGATCACAGGCATGATTTACTGTGCCCAGACTCCACTTCTTTTTACAAGATTTCATAAAATAAATGTCTATAGTCATAATTTCCTCTTTTTTATCTCACAACCTCTTCCCAGTACAATCCAATTCAATCAGGTTTCTATCCTCTTTCTACCCTCACCCCCGCAATAACATTAGATTACTTTTTCAAGGGTCACAAATGACCTCCAAGTTGCCAAAAACAATAAAGTCCCATCTTAATTAACATCTCAGATCTGACACAATTAACCACTTCTTTCTTGAAAAATTTTCTTCTCTTAGCTTCCAGGGCATCATCACTGGCCTCTCCTCAAACAAACATTTTTTTTTTTTTAGACAAGGATTCATTCCCATTGCCCAGGCTGGAATGCAAAGGTGCAATCTCAGCTCACTGCAACCTCCGCATCCTAAGTTCAAGTGATTCTCCTGCTTCAATCTCCCGAGTAGTTGGTACTACAGACATGCATCACTGCACCTGGCTATTTTTGTACTTTTTGTAGAGATGGGGTTTTACCATGTCATCCAGGCTGGTCTTGAACTCCTGAGCTCAAGCAATCTGCCTGCCTCAGCCTCCCAAAGTGCTTGACCTTGAAATGGTGGAATGCCTCTGAACTCAGTCTTACGTTTCTTTTAATTCATGCTTTCCCTTGATAATCCCATTCAGTCTCTTGGCTTTAGTCCCTTCCAGTCTTATCCCAAGTTCCGCCCTCTCCCTACTACTCCAGAGTACCTGGTTAATATCTCCTTATGGGACCCTAATATATTAGTGTGGTCAAAAGTGAGCTAATAAAAAAAAAAAATGAGCTAATTATTTTCTCCAAAATCTGATTCTTTGTCAGCTTATTCTAATTTAGTATCTAAGACCACCTTCTCTGCTGGGTGTGGCAGCTTGCTCCTGTAATTCCAGCACTTTGGGAGGCTGAGGCAGGAGATTGCCTGAGGCTAGGAGTTCAAGACCAGCCTGGGCAACATAGTGAAACCCTGTCTCTAGAAAAAATTTTTTAAATTAGCCAGGTTTGGGCCGGGTGCAGTGGCTCATGCCTGTAATCCCAGCAGTTTGGGAGGCCAAGGCAAGCGGATCACTTGAGGTCAGGAGTTCGAGATCAGCCTGGCCAATATAGTGAAAGCCCGTCCACTAAAAATACAAAAAGTAGCCAGGCATGGTGGTGCGCACCTGTAATCCCAGCTAGTAGGGAGGCTGAGGCAGGAGGATCACTTGAACCCGGGAGGCAGAGTTTGCAGTGACCTGAGATCGTGCCACTGCACTCCAGCCTGGGCAACACAGGGAGACTTCCTCCAAAAAAAAAAAAAAAAAAAAATTTAGCTATAGTGGGGGTTGCCTGAAATCCCAGACACTTGGGAGGGTGAGGCAGGAGAATCACTTAAACTTGGAAAGCAGAGGTTGCAGGGAGTCGAGATTACGCCACTGTACTCCAGCCTGGGTGACAGAGACTCCATTTCAAAAAGAAAAAGAAAAAAATAGAAAAAAATTAACCAGGCTTGGTGTCACGTGCCTATACTCCCAGCTATTGGGAAGCTGAGGCTGGAGGGTCACTTGAGCCCAGGAATTAGAGACTACAGTGAGCTATGATGGTGCTACTACACTCCAACCTGGACAACAGAGTAAGACACTCTTAAAAAAAGAAAAAAAATGAAAAAATAAACCACCTCTAATTAATTGCTCAAGCCAAACTAACTAAATTCTCTGTCTCTCGATTTCCATATCCATAAAATAGAGGTAAAATAGGGTTGTGAGGTTTAAAGTGCTTGGAATAGCATCTGGCACAGAATGAACACTCTACAAATGTTTGCTTAAAAAACAAAAATCTGGCTGGGCACGGGGGCTCACGCCTGTAATCCCAGCACTGTGGGAGGCCGAGGTGGGTGGATCATCCGAGGTCAGGAGTTCAAGACCAGCCTGGCCAATTTGGTGAAACCCCATCTCTACTAAAAATACAAAAAATTAGCTGGGCGTGGTGGCGCGTGCCTGCAATCTCAGCTACTCAGGAGGTTGAGGGAGGAGAATCGCTTGAACCCAAGAGGCAGAGGTTGCAGTGAGCCGAGATCGTGACACTGCACTCCAGTCTGGACAACAGAGCGACACTCAACATCAAAAAAAAAAAAGAAAGAAAGAAAAAACAAAAATCCTTGGCCAGGCACAAAGGCTCATGTCTGTAATGCCAGCACTCTGAGAGACTGAGGAGGGTGAATCACTTGAGGCCAGGAGTTTGAGACCACCCTGGCCAACATGGCAAACCCTGTCTCTACTAAAAATACAAAAATTAGCTGGGCATAGTGGTGCATACCTGTAGTACCAGATACTTAGGAGGCTGAGGCAGGAGAATCGCTTAAACCTGGGAGGTGGAGGATGCAGTGAATTGAGATATGCCACTGCACTCCAGCATGGGCGACACAGCGATACTCTGTATCAAATACAAACAAACAAAAACACCCAAAATCCTCTTTCTCAGACATGTCACACTGTTCTGCCTTTGTACTATTCCCCTACCTGAAAATGTTCTCTGATCTATATATTATGGATCTTATCATTCAGGCTTCAGTTAAAATAGTACATCTGAGAGAGGTTTTCCCTGACCCAATCTAAAGTAGCTATACTGTCAGTGTTAGATCATCCATTTGAATTATCTGCATAGCACTTTTCACTCTAATATTTTTCTTGTTATTTATTTTCTGTCCTCTTCTCACTAAAACTGAAGCTCTGCAAGAGCAGGGACGTTGTCTGACTGGTTCAACACGGTAGCCCCAAGACTAAACAGTTCCTGGCAGGGAGTTGACACTTAATAAATAGGTTTTAAACTTGCAGCTTATAGGACAATTATTGCTATTTTCCTGGAAAGGTGAAAATGAAAGAGCTGAAGAGATCATGTTATTCTCTTTATTACTGAGCAGCCAAGAGAAGATTAGAAAAGTTTTGTGCTGAGGTGAAGTTAGGCGGTAAAAGAGAAGAAAATGAAGTAGCTAAAATACACAATGAGAAGATGAATTTGTAAAAATGATCTTTATTTCTACACTATATTACTCACTCATCACCAGTCTGTTCCTCATTGTGCTGCTTATCTAGTGCACTGAAGAAGGCTATGATTCCTTCCAAAACACTCTTTCTGCTTCCCTGAAAACAGTACAAAATTTATAAGGTCTCCCAATTAACAGCAAAATAACCAAGTTGAATTCAAAGTACTTTTCAGCTTAAAGAATTCTCCAGTACAAATTTAAATAAATAATCTATGACTTAGACTCAAACTAAGAATGTATAGAACACTTTCATGTTGAAACAAGGTTTGAAATACCTCTTACTGTAAGAATTTATGGGGCCTATAGTCTACCCTTTCTAAGATCTTTATCCCTTTTACCACCACAAAGAAAATGTAGCAATAGAAGAGATAATGCATGTTTTCCTTGGATGAGAAGCATGATCTTTTTACCAGGCCAAACCAAACCACTAAACATGAAATGAAAGCATCTATGTTCGGCTATGTTTGTTCTGCTATGTAAACCAAGGGTATGAATAAGTTGAATGGTCATAACTGGTCATACCACGAGAACTAAGGAGAAACAATTTTCCATTTGTACCTTGGAGGAGAGAACCAGAAGCTGATAGACCAAAGGTGGTATTTCTTGAAGATTCATCTTGGAGAACATGCTCAATGCTTTTTCCACCACAAATTCCACCTCTTCTGCAGTCAGAGGGACATCCCTGTGGATCAAAGATTCTAAAGGCTACAGACAGAGTCCAACTGCCTTGTTTTCAGAAATTCAATTCAGGGCTTTACAGTGGTTAAAATTCCATTAAACATATTTTAAGAAATAAAACTTGGGAGCAGAGAATTAAAGAGGTAATAGATTATTATAACTGTCTCTTTTGATTTTTCTCTAATGAACCTTTAAGGGAACCGATAACCTTACCTAAGCAAAGTCATCTTAGAAAAAAAATCATAAAGTTACATTTTAAATAAGTAAATAAAGCCAAAAAGGAGGCAGGAGTGGGGAGGAAATCTGTAACAGAAAACATAACTACTAATATTCTTACAGTCAGGAGAGCGTGATGTTTACGTTTGCTATGGTTTAATTTCTAGCAAGTAAGTTCACAAAGTAGGATATACAAAGAAAAGGGAAAGATGATGCTTACTTGAACATGGAGGTGAGCTGGATTACGTATTGCTGATCCCACCTGGTAGAAGAAAATGACAAAGAAAGTTTATTTCATTCCAACTTATTTAGATATAACTTTGTAAAATTAATGAGGACCAAAAAAAGGGCCAATTCAAGTTTGATTTTGCAATACTGAGAAACAAGATCAAATAAATACCATTTAAAACAATAAAATAGCGGTTGTTAACCTATCTGACTTGCAAAATCAAAATTCTGATGATACCCAATGTTGGTGAAATTGTGGAAAACACACACTCTTCACACACTGTTTTAGGGAATGCATGACAAGTTGGCAGTATTTATCAACTTTAAAAATGCACGTAATCACAGACCTACCCGATTTACTATTAGAAATATATGCCATGTACATGCTTACAAAAGGTCATCTAGATATATAAAAATGTTCAGGCCAGGTGCAATGGCTCATGCCTATTATCCCCACACTTTGGGAGGCCAAGGATCACTTGAGGCCAGGAGTTCAAGACCAGCCTGGGCAATAAAGCAAGATTCCCATCTCTATTTAAAATTTAAAAAGACGTTCATTGAAACACTCTTTGTAATAGCACAAAAACTGGAAACAATCAAATAATCCGACAATTGTAGATTAGCCAAATAATAGATTACTGCAAACCATTAAAAAGAATGATGTAGAGTTGTATATGCTGACATGGACAGCTATATTAAATAAAAAATGAAAGGTATGTTACGATATGTATTGAATAAACTCTTGTGTAATTAGAAACAAATAAATTGATACATATATGCTTAAAATTATTTATGTAAGGGATCTTATGTAAGCAACCATAAAAACAATTATCTGGTTTAGATAATCTTGGGTATTCCCTTCTTGTTCTTTTTAACAAACCTACATGCAATCACAGTGTTATATAACACAGTAATCTCTTTATTTTGTTAATTATATGGTAAGAATTTTTCATCTTTGATGTATACATTTCACTTTTAATAGGTATAAATGTCATGGAGTGGCTCTACCTTAACTTACATAGTTTACATGTTCTATTACTGTATGCTTATATTGGTCACAAATTTCTTGTTGAACATGTTCATATGTGAGGATTTTCTTGTATGTTGGAGTCATTCTTTAATGTAGATTCCCAGAAATACAATTACTGGTTAAAGGATACATTATTTGTATCTTCTAGTCCCTCAAAAAAAAAAAAAGAAAGAAAGAAAAGATGCAGCAGCAGGGTGACTTCCCCAGCCTTCACGACCTTGAGACTCCAATAATGCTTAGATTGGAGCATTAAACACACTAAATTAACATTTAATTATGTGTATCTTAACACAATAAATTGCTGTACTAAGATACACAGTCAAGCAAATAAAACTATACGAACAGTCTTAGAGGACAGAATATAGTAAATCATCTCTTTCTCACTAATTCATTGCAGACTAAATAGTTTTATAGTGTTATATTCAAAACTACAAAAAAGAAGGACTTAAAACCTTCACAGATATAAATTCCTGAAATAAAGTGGTTTTTTTTTTTTTTGGCCACTTGTATTCCTAAGAAAGTTCTACATATTAATAAGACTCACCTGCCAGAACACAGGATGTTAATCAACTGCTTCTTACACTCTTCCCCACTCAGTACACCTAGAAATGCAAAATATACTGAGCAATAAATTTGAGTATGTGAATAGAGAAAAAGCCAATAAAATTGGAAGAAAATTACCTTTTCCATAAGCCAGATTTTCCTTTTTGGTAGCCAGGGCAGTGAGAATTATAGGTAGTAACTCCAAAGATTTTCCATTCACTAGGCTGCCTTCTCTGACAGCACTAATAAACTCATTGGCTAATTCAACCAATAATGGTCCTGGAAAATGGTGAGCCTAAAAGTTCACAGGATAAAGGAAATCTCAAGCAGAAATCCCATGTTTGATATATCTTTCTAAGAAATAAAGTCTTTTGCTGAAATAAATTAATTGTATGAGATCCAGAATTGGTCCCACAAGGGATTTATGGAATCATTCTGCTCTGTCTGGTACATAGTTATAATTGCGCAGGGCTTCAAAAGTTAGAATCCTCTGTCGGTTCCCTAATGCTTTCAGATATGCCAACTCTTCTAAGAGATATATGTCCATGGTACCAGAAATGTAATATGAACATCTAAGTGGATTATAACCCATTCATCTGCCTTTTTTTGAGATGGGGTCTCACTCTGCTGCCCAGGCTGGACTGCAGTGGCACAATCTCGGCTCACTGCAACCTCCACCTCCCTGGCTCAGGCGATCTTCTTGCCCCAGCCTCCCAAGTAGCTGTGACCACTGACATGCACCACCAGCCTGGTTAATTTTTTTTTCTTTCGTATTTTTGGTAGAGATGGGGTTTCACCATGTTGCTCAGGCTGGTCTCAAACTCCTGAGCTCAAGCGATCTTCCCACCTCAGCCTCCCAAAGGGCTGGGATTACAGGTGTGAGTCACTATGCCCAGCCTGCCTGCTTCTTTGTTTTTTAACAACAGGTCTTATTCATAAATAAGAACTTAAGTTAGGCACTTAAGTTTTCCTTCCCTCAACAAACTACAAACCCCCCAAAATCTACCCTCAAATAAAAGTTTTTGTTTGCCATCTTACCTCCAGCATCAGTAATCCTATGATCTCAGACGCTATTTCTTTCTGCAAATCCCCTGATTCCACTAACTGGATACAATAAGCGTATATCTTACGTCTCCTAAGTGCTCCAGCTTCCTCACAGCAGGGGGAACCTTATTGTTTTAAACAGGGGGTACAGAAACAAAGGAAGAAATCTTACAAGATTGATAGATAAATAGGAAAAATGGACAGGTTTGTAGTTAAATACAAAAAATAGAATTATCAAACAACTGATTACTATAGTGCTTAGAAAAGCAATGGTTAAGGGCTTTGAAAAAGTGCTTAATTTAGCCAAAGTAAAGGGACGAAAATGTCATCTTTTCTTTATCCACCTATTTTATTAATTGATTTGAATAATTATGTAGTACAGGATGAAGTAACCTTCTAATAGGTCTTACAGCTTTTGAGAAGTCCAGTAACCCAAATTTAATAAGTTAATAAATCTATTTTCTTCAAACTTCTGCAATAGTTCTTTAAAATCACAACAGTTAGCAAGCTTTTTTAATGTGCTCTATACAAATACTTGTGAACTTTTAATATGTTCAGTGCTTTCATTTTGATAACTGGATCTCCATTTGATATTTTCACTTATATAACTCATTTGCAGTCTGAAAATTTTTTTTAGTGCCAGTCCCTGAACATATCATTAAAAGTTTTCTTTGCATTTTAAAATATCTGGATCATGAAGAAAAAGTGATGAAAATAAATAAAAACTGAAAAAAAAAAAAGATAATAACGAGTGTTGATGAGGATGTGAAAAAATGGGCATCTTAATCCAGCCATAGTGGAAAACAGTTTGGCGGTTTCTCAAACACTTAAACATAAGAGTTTCCATATGATCTGGCAATTCCACTCCTAGATATATATCCAAGAGGAAGGAAAACATATGTCCACACAAAAATGTATACATAAATGTTCATAGTAGTATTATTTATAATAGCCAGAAAATAGATACAACTTAAGTCTTCATCAACTCATGAATGGAAAAATGTTGTATATCCACATAATGGAATATTATTCAGCAGTAAAAATAAACTACTGATACATATTACAACATAGAAGAACCTTTGTAACATTAAAAATGAAAGAAGTCAGTCACAAAGGACCATATGTAGAATGATTCCACCAAATGAAATGTCCAGAATAGACAAATCTGTAGAGACAAAAAGTAGATTCGTGGTTTCTTAGGACCGGAATGGACTAGGGGTTTGGAGAGGTGACATCTAAGAGATGCAAACCTTCTTTCAGGGGTAATGAAATTGTTTTAAAATCAATTGTGGTAATGGATACACAACTGTGAATACACTAAAAGCCATAGAATTGCTCTTCCATTTAGTAGTGCACATAGGCAGCTGCTATTGATCTTTCATTATTTCCTTTTCTCTGATATTTCTATAAAACATTTAGCAAGTTTCCATACAGGTTGACTCAACCAATCTTGAAAGTTCTTTCGGCCGAGCACGGTGGCTCACGCCTGTAATCCCAGCACTTTGGGAGGCCAAGGCAGGCGGATCATGAGGTCAGGAGATCGAGACCATCCTGGCTAACATGGTGAAACCGTGTCTCTACTAAAATACAAAAAAAATTAGCCGGGCTTGGTGGCGGGCGCCTGTAGTCCCAGCTACTCGGGAGGCTGAGGCAGGAGAATGGCGTGAACCTGGGAGGCGGAGCTTGCAGTCAGCTGAGATCGCGCCACTGCACTCCAGCCTGGGACAGAGCAAGACTCCGTCTCAAAAAAAAAAAAACAGGGGCACGCCCAAGATGGCCGAATAGGAACAGCTCCAGCCTCCAGCTCCCAGCGTGAGTGACACAGAAGACGGGTGATTTCTGCATTTTCAACTGAGGTACCGGGTTCATCTCAGTGGGGAGTGCCGGACAATCGGTGCTGGTCAGCTGGTGCAGCCCGACCAGCGAGAGTTGAAGCAGGGCGAGGCATCGCCTCACCTGGGAAGTGCAAGGGGGAAGGGAATGCCTTTTCCTAGCCAAGGGAAACTGAGACACACAACACCTGGAAAATCGGGTAACTCCCACCCTAATACTGCGCTTTACCAAGGGTCTTAGCAAGTGGCACACCAGGAGATTATATCCCACACCTGGCCCGGAGGGTCCCACGCCCACGGAGCCTCCCTCATTGCTAGCAAGGCAGTCTGAGATCTAACTGCAAAGCAGCAGCGAGGCTGAGGGAGGGGCACCCACCATTGCTGAGGCTTAAGTGGGTAAATGAAGCCACCCGGAAGCTCGAATTGGGTGAAGCCCACCGGGCGATTTCCTATTGTTGGAGGGGGTTAGGGGGAGGGA